ATGAAAGCAAGAAAGTCATAACATCCAGTCCCTATTCTGCTCACTGTCAAATAACATGCAGTTATTAAAGTTTAGCTGCTACAAACCACATAACATAGCAAAACATCTGCAAGCAGTTATCAAAGTAATGATTTTAGCCCTTAATTGGGTTCAAACAACATTTTTATTTTATTGTAGTTGTATGGTAGCTTTATGGTAGTTCTAAGACAACTGTAAGGTACTTGTACAGTTGTTTTAAGATAGTTATATTGTAGATAGACAGTTGTAAGGTAGTTGGTGGTTGTAATGTAACACTCTGGCAATTCTAAGACAGTTGTATAGTAAATGTAATTGTCAATGTTTCCTGTTTAACAGATGTTTAATAAATCAAACCTCCTCATGTTCAGCCTTTCTTTAATTGCTTATCAATAGCAGAAATTTGTATTGACAAGGGCCTGTCAGAAGGGGACCTTTGTAGTTGTCAGTTATCTCCAGGCAAGGCCCCCTCGGACACCAATCCGGATCGATTGGCATGCAAAGCACAGTTGAGATGCCTTTTAGGGGCCAGAGAGGGGAGAGCAGGAGGAGGAGCTAAAGACCTCGTCATCCGGGGAATCGATAGGGCCGGCTGCCCTTTGACCTGAGGGAGGCAGGTTGGCGGGTGGTGGGTCAGTCTTAAGCCAGGCTCACGCTGTGAGGCCTGACACTGGCTATGACACACTCTGGACTTAGATTGACACTGACCCGGCTGCAAACACACAATTACACACATGCAAAGTCTCAAACATATAGTACACACAGATGGCTTTGGCTCAGAAAGTGGAATTTAATGTTTTGAGTTCATAGAGCTGAAATAAAGAGCTGCAAGTCTAAGAGCTGCTTTTGAGTCTAAAGTCTACTGAAAGTCTTATTAGCTTCCAATTAGCTTCGTTTGATGTCCTGTGCAGCCCCTGGGAGCACGAGAATGAGCAGCTACACCAGCAGATCAATACAAGGGACTGAGTAAAGATCAGTCTTTTAAATGGGTGAGAGTGCTGTAGATTAAAGACAGAGAGAGGGATAGGCAGCTGTGGATGTCCTGGGGGTCAAGGGCACACAATGGGGTGCAGGAGTGAACTCAGACCAGCAGAGAGAAAACAAACCCTGGGCTTTTTTCCAGCCATTGTCTTTTAAACCCAAATGCAAATGTGTACCCAAAGATTCTGGTCCACTTCCAAGCATATTTGTTCAAACTAAAGATAGACGACATGGGGCAAAGGAGAGGAGCCAGCAAATGTAGAACATTTAATAATATAAAAATGTCCACAAATACAGGCTGTCAATAGATGAAGAACTGACACCACATGAAGAACAGCATCTTGCCATGAAGTATCTGTATTTGTGCCCAGTTTTTTGACTAGATGAATTTTCTATGATCTGCAGTTTATTGTGTCAGTAAAGTGTAAAGTCCTTTTTTCTATATAAATGTCTCTCAGAATGTCATATTCTGCATGAATTATAGTTTTCCATCCCCGTGCACAGACCCAAAACATTGTTTTAAGTACCACTGGATGTTAATCAATTAGTTGATTCACTGATTAATCAACTGACAGAAAACTAATCACCAGCTATTTTCATAATCTATTCATATTTGTGGTCATTTAAAAAGCAAAAATGTCAGTATTCTGCTGGTTCCATCTTCTAAAACATGGCCGTATTTGCTGCTTTTTAAAAACTCATAGAAAAAGAACCTGAATATGTTTGGGTTATAGACTGTTGAGTAAATAAACAAGACATTTGAATGTGTTGCCTTTGGTTTGGGGAAACTATGATGAGCACTTTTCTTGCTTTTTATCTGACATTTACAGACAAATTGATTAATCTGTAACATTGATAATGATTTGCTGCAGCTATAAATACCATGAGCAATACACTCAGCAAAGAGCTGCAACTAATGATTATTCTCAATAAGGTCTTTCTGTCCATAACCTAGGCTTTCAGTTTATAAATCTAGAAAGCAGTAAGTAGTTTCATTTGAAGTGAGAACAGAAACTATAGCCAGTGAAATTATTGTGGCATTTTTGCTTAAATAAATGATTTTAACCATTAACCATCGGTTAACAAAATAGTTGTTGATTAATCAACTAATCGTTTCAGGTTTATTTAGGAGGAGGGCAGGAAAGTGTTTCTTTGGTCAGGCTCTCACCGAGATAATGCTGCTTTCCATCTCCCAGCATGGGGTCAGTTTCAGAGCCCCAGCCTGGAGCTTCCCCCACATGACCCCCACTTGTCAAAGGTGATCACGGAGGAGAGAGAAAGACAGGCACTGATCGAATTTGATAATGAAGACAACCTCTCTAAGCTGCTTTGCTCCACATGTTCAAAATCTCTGCAACACTCGATAAACACTAGGAAGCCCCCCTCCCTGTCACTGCAACATTGTGTAGGTATTGATCCCAGCTAACTGGCTCTTTCAATATCTGGGCTCTGTGGCCCGGCCTGGGGAAATGCATACTGACGTGACGGGAGAAGCTTAATAGGAAAAAATGCTGAAGAAAGGATGGGCCTCTCACTCTCCCATTTTTTCCAATTTACACATCTGCTGGAGAAAGAATTACAGCCACTGCACCTGCTGTTAAAAGGACATATAGACTGCAAGAGGCTCAGCACTTTACTGAGAGAAAAGCTGTCACACTGACAAAAACTATTTGTGCAAGCAGAAGTGGAAGCACTTTTCAGATTAAGCATAAACTTTATAAAACTTTACCAAACTAACTCTTGTACTGCAACAGCAGTAAAACCTTAAGAGATACTCCAATCCAAGTCTTGAAATTAAATCAGCAAGCGTCAAAAGTAAAAGTATGGCAGACAGTCGGCTCCTCTAATTGTTGTGTTGCTGAATTAAAGCATCTATGTGCAAGTAGCACTTTATGGTTGTTTTATTAATGTCAAGTAAATTCAAATTTAAACTGATTTTATTTACAGAGTAGGCCTGTAAAAAGGCCTTTAAATGAACGAAGTGCTCAGAGTTCACTCGACTTAATCAGTTTGATAAAATGTGATTGATATTTGTTCCTAGCACGCATTACTTTAGAGTTAAAACACTCGAGAGACCCCTTGTTTTACATTTCAAAAGAAACTCTGTGCAAAAGCTTTAGACACTTCAGACATTTAGATATTTATTCATCAGAGAGCGGTCTTCGGTGGCAAGAAGAACAAGAAATCCTACAGCAGATGGTGTCCACTGACTCCAGGGGTACATGAAGAGACAGAAGACAAATCCACAGAGGAACTGTGACAAGTTATCCATGATGGAACAGGCTACCTGCCAGGTGAGCAAGTGTCTGGAGTTGAGGTGCTGTTTTAAAGGCACACCAAAGGTCATATCAAATATTGTATGGAATTCATTTTAAAGGCGTCCACACTTTGTTCTTAGTGCCTAAAACATTTGTACTGTCAAGCAATTTTTATTTACTGTACATAGGCCAGCACCACAAATCACAAATTTGCCTCAAGGGGCTTTTCAGTCTGTACAACATATGACACACCCTGTCCTTAGAGCCTCTAACTGAATAAGGAAAAATGGGGACAAAAAACTGGAAAAGCCATTTAAGAAGAGCAACTGAGGAGGGATCCCTCTTCCAGGATCAACAGATGTGCAATCGACAATCAGAATCACAAAAAAAAAACCATTGTATAAACAATACCCCGCAGGATGAGCCAACTTTCAGATACCTTCAATATGCCCAGACTACACAACCTGCCTCCAGACAAAAATCTGGTAGGGCAACAGCCTACACAACCACACAAGAGAAAAAAAATCCAAACACGTCATTTGCACATACAAGGGAAAGAAACAAACACACTGCACTATATTCGAACGGAAACATGCTCAGTATTTATGCTCAGATAAACCTTGGTTGTTTCCATTAATAATAATAAAAGCAATACAAACCTTAATGAAGGTTTAGTATCAAATTCAGTCCCTTCAGTCTTGTTGAATGAAGAACTGATATGTTAAACGAATAAATGTTGTTGTTAAACGAATAAAACTTAGTCCGGCTTTACATTTTCACAGTTTATAAGATGACTTGGATGAATATTCATCTTGAGTTAACTCACATTTTTAAGGCAGCAAAATATATTTTAAAGTTGAAACATCTTAGAATGATTCAGTATTTATAATACTGTTGGGTTGTAACCTAGTAACTACAGTTGGCAGATTAATGTGCTGTAGTAAGAAGTACAATACTTGCCTTGGAGATGCAGAGGCATGAAAGTAAAAAGTTACATGAAATAAAACCACTGAAGTAAAGTACAGATAACGATACTTTAATAAACTACTACTAAGTTATATTCCACCACTGTTGTGTAGATAGGGACTGGATCTCAAGAAAGAGCAACATCTTCTTTTAACTAAGATCTTTTAATAGAAAAAGATAATCAAATGTGAACCTGAAAAAAATTGTTCATGGCATATTTACAGAGCTCAATCAGTCACCTTCAACATAAAACAGCACAGGTCAGCAGGTACACACTAAGTGATGACCGTCTGAATCTAATAACGCAGGCCTAATTCAACAATACTGAACCAGATTTTTTTTATTTATAGAGGAATAACATGTCATATCTGCTTTCGCAAGGACTCATCACTTTATTTTATGCAGTTTATATGACACAGAGACAGCCGTGGATATAGTCAGTAATTTGTCTGAACCACACAGTATAGTGATACAGTCAATGATGTTCCCAGATGGGTGTAGCAGAGATTCACATTTCTGCCAAGGGTCTTTTAAATGATCAAGTATTATAGGATTAATCAAGTTTCAGGGCCAACCAAAAAATTAACTCAATAGGGATGCACCGAGACGAGGTGCAATGTGACAAACACAAGTGCATTTACATGGTAATGCTAGACAGACTACGAGATCAATGCACTTAAGTGCAACTAAGAACAAGTAACGTGTTAGAAGTGAAAGCATTTTCACACAGATGAGGTACTCACACTTGTGCCCCTGTACATCAAAAGCATCTCTATAGTGCAATTTGGGCTGAAGATACAGCCTGACATGAATATATTAATCCCTGTTCAGCGGACAATGCCCCATTGTTTTAAGTAGTCCTCCTTTAGAAAGGTTTAGAAATACATTTAAACTAACAATATTTAGAACTGAAGTAAGCAAATCAAAACACTGATAACTTGGGCTCCTATTGCTTTGAATGGCCTCACAGTAAGTAGGTAGTAACATCAGTGAGCTCTTCTTCTCAGGCTTGAAAACATCCCCGTCCCCCCCCCCCCGGCCCCCAAAAAAACATGCGTTCAACAGGCCTCCTGAACATCTGCATCTCGTGGCAACTAACATGAAGGCAGGAAGTCAATAAGAAAGCGAAGTAGAGCGATCAGAGGTCATCTTTTCACCTTTGCATCCTCCTTGATCTTCCACATCATCAGCTCCATGCAGGCAGATGCATCTTCGCTTGAGTCGTGGCCTTCCACTGGAAAGACATGAGCAAGTGATCATGCAGTTTGTTTGTTTTTTATTTACATGAACACTGTATTACCAAACTCATAAAATTTTAATTTGATTCTGGTAATATGTAACAGTATTATGTTTATTATTATTATTATTATTATTATTATGTTTATCATTATGATGTTGAGGATGTCTACAGCCATGCTAGCAGCTCTGTGAGCCTACATTCACACAGAGCAGGCATGTAGCTACAGTAAATACTAATGTCAGCATGCTAATGTGTTGAATTTTTATAGGTTTAATATTGGCAGCATTATACTTCAATGTGTTAGCATGCTAACATTTCCTAATTAGCACTAAACACATAGCTGAGGCAGAGGTGCATTCTCACTGGTTTTGCAGATTTTAGTTCACAAAGTATCAAACAAACTGAAATTTAGACTTGACAGTACTGTAGGAGAAATCAGGAGGTCAACAAAGTTGTCAAAATTCATCTTGAGGAAGACATAAATAGCTGTTATTGAGATATTTCCCTCAAAACTAACAAAAGTCGCCCTCATGAAGGCAGCAGAGGAAAGGTTCAAAGAATCACCAAAGTCAGTACGATACATCCTCCAAGGGCCACAAATATCTACAAAATATCACGGCAATCCATCCACTAGTTGTTGACCTATTTCACTCAGGACTAAAGTGGTGACCAGCTAACTGACAGTCCCTAGAGCCTAAAACTGAGGAGACCCCCCCAATAATAATGCCTCTTTATGGCAGTCTGAACACGGCCTACATATCATACACCAATGATTAAAACACTGGGATTTCTAAACCGTTGAGGTGTTTCATCAAGTTGGGTTCGACACAGGCTTCAGTTAACACTGTGCACAAGAGTGACATCTGCTGGTGGCATGGCCCCACTGCAGTCACATAAAGCTACATTTATTGGGCTGCATCACTACACTTGGAAAACAAGATCTGGCCTTCCTCTAGACATAATATCATGCAAAGACATTTATGAGTGTGAATTATAGCAACATGTCATCTTAATTTCCTTTGATTCATCTCAGTATTATGCAGGAATGGATGTGTTTATACTGGATTTATTACATCACTATTATTGATCTGTTAGACTACTGCTGGAACCACTGATGGATTTTGTTTCCTGCAGTATGAGAATTTTGGGACAAGTTAATATGTCAACACATACATCAATGGATAAAAATACACAATTAAAACAATTCTCATTATAAAGTGACAATAGAGCTTCCGCTGGTTCCAAGTGATTTTACTCACCATTGTCCTGGATGATGCGTTTGAGGTGGTCGGCCATCAAGCTCTTCAAGGCACGTTTGTAGGGCAAGCCGAGGCGATGAGGGAACACAACGGCTGTGTCTACAACAAAACTGTGGATTAACTGCAAATGGGAGACAGAGGGAGCATTACATCAGCGGTTTGTCTTTTATTTCAGGCAGTTAACATCCTGATTCTCCTTTTACAGTGAGGGTCAGCTAGAGATACCACCTTATCAGAAGTCATGCTAGACTTTTCGTTGTCTATCATTTTGACAGACAGGGTCATAACAATTGTCATAATTTATTACTGCCCATCAATTTAATTTTCATTTTTAATGACAAGACATAGCCTATTTAATAACATTTGATTTTCATTTTATTTTTTAATAATTCATATATGGAACAAGACAATGTGCAACTACTTTTCAGGTCAAGAAGACTTTTTTCCCCGCAGTGACAGCGGAGGCCACAAAAACACTGCAGCTACTGTGCATAAACAAGCAAAAATGAACACTGCAATTTTACTAAATTAGACAATTACCATTAAAATGAACAACCCATTTACAGTCCACGACTGTTCAACGCAATGTCAGCTCCCAATTGTCCTTCATCTACTGCATCTGTTCCTCTTTTAATTAATACCATAGCAATTACTGGGATTTTTAGTAGCCATACTGTAAGCTAGGGGCTCTCTGTTTTCTTATCTATCAAAATGATGGATGGCTTTCAGATTTTTTTGTTAACATAACCGTAACGTAATGGCTGAATAGGAGTCAGATTTCTATGTGTTTCTCTACACAAAGTGTACCTTCAAAGCAAGCAGGTCGCTCTCCAGACTGTGTCCTATGAGGATGGATTCAGCACTGAACATACTGAGCAGTACAGCCTGAACATCTCTCAGGGTAATGGTGGTGCTCTCCAAGTCCTCCTCCGTCACACCTGAAAATCTGTTGATCAGGTGCGAGATACACACTGCCTTTATAATACTAATATCCTTTTCCTACAATTTAATACAGTTTGCTCACCTAGAACAATTAATGGCAGGGCAACAACTAAAAATAATCTTCATCACCAGTAAAGTTAAATTAAAGACCTGACCCATACAATGTCATGTTGCAGGGGGACAATCTCACCGAGTGTTGTAGTCGACTACTTTGCTTTCAGGTTTGACAAATGTGTCGTAAATAACTTTCATGTCAGGATCAATGACGGTCACCCTCGTCAGTTCCAGGCCCTGCTTTGTGTAACACTATTACCAAGGAGAGGAGAAAAAAAAAAACACTTAAATGTGATACTGAAGGTAAACTAGATCAAACATAATGAGCATGGTGTGACTCATTTGGCCCCACTAGTACTAAATTGGCCTACAAAAAACAAATCTAAAATCAAACACACACACAACAGAATGAGATCAACTGTGCATTTACATTAGAGTTTTTCAGAAGTGTAGTGCTGTTTGGTGAAGGGTCAGAGCGCACCTATGACGTGTGCACAGTTAAGTTGTGGCTTATTTTGAGGGCCAAGTAAACACTTTTCCTGTGATTACCCACACAATCAAATGTTACACTGACTTTATTCTCTAGTGTGGTATAACGTGAATAAGTAGCCAGGTGTCACAGGGTGAATGTTATAGCCATAAATAATCTTATTACGAGGGTGTAATCTCCACGGGGGCCAGAGGACATGTCCCACACAAAATATGAAAAACAAATTTGTCCCCTCGGCCTTAATATTTGTCATGACCAGTCATCAAATGCCTCATAAAGCTGTAAGTAAGTAGATGTTCTCTACTCAAAAGCGTTAAAAGGACTCTAAACCTACTGAATGCTCTCTGAACTCCTCCTGCTTCATGTTGATTCACATTTCAACCAGCACTAGCGAACAAATCAGCCACGTGTGAGGCTCACAACTAGTCAGCATGTGCCAAAGTTTAGCCTTCCTGTGCCCTGCTGGTGCCATGTAGGCCTACAGCTGATCACTCACATAAAAAAAAAAAAAAAAAAAAGGAGTGTCATTCCGATGCATTCCGGCAGCAATATCTGAAAACTTCAGTCTCACTTACCATCTCGCAGTCCAATGCAAACACACCTCCATTTCCGTCCGGTGGCAGAGATTTACTGAACGTTGAGACATAGTTGTCCAGTGACTCTTTACGCCCATCCTGCACATGTTGCTGGGGGAATGTGTGATATTTCAACTAAACACATTATGTGGCCACAAGTATTTATTCTGGTAGCGGCAGAAGTTATGAAGACAGCACTGAACACACACTATGTCAGAACTTATTGGCACAAAGCTGCTTGTTTAGAAAACTGAACCCAACAGAGATAGTGATAGTAGTGAATTAGCACTAGCTATAGATTCTCCATATCCACTTTTAGGGGAAATATAGCAGGTTAAAAGTCACCCTTAAGCTGAAACAAAACACAGTTCAAGGTGTTATAAAATCTTAACAATCCAAGCTGTAAATCTATTCAGACCTAAAAATCCTTTTAAAAGCATGTTTTCATTTTCTACTTTGTTGTGTTACGATGATACCTTGGAAACTTGGCAACCCGGAGAACCCACGGCCGCAGCACAGCAGCTGTAGTTTGTTTCCCAGCCTCCAGCAACTGACAGAGATGGAAACAAGTCAGGAAAGACATTGTTAAACAAGACACCGAAGAAGGCAATCAAAAAGGACGGAGGCTGAGTTAGATCTGGCATTATAAACTGCAAGGCAAAAAGAACAAAATGCACATTTATAATATTATCAACCATTCACACTAAATAATTGTAGCAAATTTACCTTTATTTCTGTGTAAACGTCCCCAGTGATAATTACATTCCTCTTTCCGTATACAGCTGCCATTGCCATTGATCTTATACTCTGCTCCACATCGACAGCATATCTTGTTGAATGCTGCAAAAACATTGCAGAGCCTGTCAAAGTCAAATAATTACTGGACCAACTACTATATTACCACATTTATTTAGAAATAGTCATTAGAAATTAGTAATTATCAGAAAGTGCTGTGGGGCCTTGACGATACTTACGATCTGTAACAATCTTTTTCTCCCCAGGGTTGAATACAGAGGCTTTACCCGCACCCTTCGGGCTTGCTCTCGGGTAGCCGTGTTCCAGGAGCTCTTCCTCTGTCATCAGGTATGCCTTCAGCTTCCTGTACAGTGTGGCTCCTACAGAGAGACGGAACGACAGGTAAAACAAATGTCTTTACACAGTAGTTGTCGCAGTAGCAGATTTTTACTGCTTTGGTTGCTGAACAAGTTAATAAAAAGTCTGTTTGCATGTGGAGGAACGTCTCTTGGTGGCAGCAGGACCAGCAGGACCTCCTGGATGTCATGGGCCTGAAATACTGTCTTCTAGAGCGGCCATTTGGAACCGCTATAAACACAGATGATTTCCACTGTGGTCACTGGCTTTCCTGTCAGTCAGACAAAGCAGTGGTCCTTTCAACAACTCTAGTCTTGTAAACATGTTCCCTTGCACAGCTGGTCACTGGGCAGGTACCTCGCTGTACAAAGGACCTGGAGGTAGTCGCATAGCTTTGAACAGGTTTGCTGCTACTACTGTAAGCTGTTTCAACACATCACTGAGTAAACAAAAGTCCAAGAGTCTCTGCCTGTCACAAAGGTTCCTTTACTTTCTTCTCATCTTTCTCTCATTGTAATCCTGCTGATTAACAAGTCAGAGAAACTGACTGAGGACTGAAAACACTATCAACATGATCCTTCATGTCATCATGACTAAACCCCCTCGGTAGCACTTAGCTCATAAAAAGGATAATGGTGAAGTCAAACTTGTTCCTTACCGGAGAGTTTTTCTTCTTGCTGTTTACCCATCCTGTTGATGGTGAAGCTGGTTGTAGCAGCAAGACGACCCCCTAGAACATCCTCATGGGACTGGGCCTTCCTGTTAGCAACTGGCCCGGGCTCCTCTGTTGACAACACACGTACGGAGGTTACCACTGAAAATTTACTCAGGAAAACAACATTTCATTTCAAGTAGAGATACATCAATTGCAATTTTCTTTCTAATAACAGTAATTGACAGCATACACAAACATTTTTGTAACTTTTCATGAATGAAAATTTTTAAGTTTCACATCGTTCTTTACAAACCTCCAGCTAAAAATGAAGTGCAATATTTGCGCTTCTCCAAATGTAAACAGGTAATAGAAATACAAGAATGTCTGTTACAGTACATCAATTCTACTGAACATGCAGTTCTTTTTAAAGTGTGTTTATGTTTTACCACTGTACATAGGCATTTCGAGTGTAGCTAGCAATTCCCTCATTGTGTACTATTGGTCAGAGATTTGGATATTGTTTTACTGTGGCTATACACTCCTCTGTGAGCTTTTTGTACACCAAATGCTTCCAATGCATGAGTGAACATGCACCTGGTAACAAGTGTGACCCCAGCCTGAGGGGCACATGAGATGCTACATGCTGCACATGCTATGCTTTTGGCCTGTGCCACTGTGTGTGCAATGTGGGCCATTGTGTGTGTAAATATGATACAGAATCGGATATCTCAGAGCTAAAAACTGAACAATTCCAATCTCAATTGATTGATGCATCTTTAATTTCAAATGCTTGAAACAAATTGTCATGCTTTTACCGAACATGCCAAATGCTTGAAACAAATTGTCATGCTTGTACTGTACATGCGAGGACTTAAACTGATGTATCACAGTTATCAGTTTATTTGGTGAATCTGATGCAATCCTTAGTTTTGTGTAGGTTTGTTCATGAATGTTAAAAAACAACCACTGACAAAGCAAATGTTATATGTCACACTACACAGGGGCTGACATACTGGTGACTGGCGATGAACAGGAGCTGCTCTTGTTGCGCAACTTTTTCAGTGTGTTGACAGCTACATTGAGGTAGATGTTCTTGCTGCTACTACGCTCATACACCAGTTTCTCCTCATCAAGGGCCTGAAACAAGAATTGCATTTCTGTTACTGTCAAAACTTCCATTTCTTCTGCTACAGATTATTCCTAGGAACAAAAGGAGTGTGTTTAAACGCTTTTTTTTTTTTATGTGGAACCATCGTCTCTCAAGCCATTTCCAAATTAGGCACAGTTATAACCAATAAGATAAGACGAAATCGATCTTAAACAAAGAACATATCACTCTGTTAAACCAAGTCATAGTAGCCTAGAGTGCAGGTGGTACAAAACAGATGTTATTCATACCATCTGGAAGGCAAAGTCCTCCGACGGGCAAAATTTGACACATTCATCTATGAAGGTGTTGAGGTAGCGCTGACGAATGTTTGTAGGGACTTTGGCCCCAAACTCAGCAGGGATAACAGGGCGCTTCATTGAAGTACTCTGGAAAAACAAAGAAAAAAAATTTTATTTTACAGATTAAGAAATCATTCCTCTGCAAGACATCAAGGTTACACAGGGATGTGCAGACACAAACAATCAGGAAAAGATGTAAGATGGGTATGACAAAATTTCTAACTGAAATATTAGGTTACAGAAAATGCTGGATACCTTCATGGTTGGTGTGTGTGCTAGCCTCTTCTGCGTAGCAGTGGACATGGTCTTTGACAAAATACCAGCAGTGGTTTGAGCCTTGACAGCCTGATGAGTCCGGCTCGGGGATGATACTTGACTGGCAGTTGGTTTAGTGTCTGCCAGACCTACACATTCAAGCACACAGACATACATGTGACTTCAGTCTTTAAAAGTGAAAGTCGTTCAATATTAACTCCAACAGAAGAGAATTTGAGACTACTGCGTCTGTTTTAACATAGCAACAAGAAACATCAAGGAACACAGTGAAAGTTTTTTCTTCTTTTTTAATTTAGTTTGTCAAAATAATAGTGAACGCTGAATCATGGTACAAATAATGAACAGTGCAGGCACTCATACTTGTTTTGGGGGCTGCTATCTGTGGGTTGGGACGGTGTGCTATTCTCTTCCTTTCCCCAGAGAAGCTGGGGCTGAAGCTCTGTGAGGCAGTTTTGACTGAAGCAGAAAGCTGAGCAGCCTGCTGCTGTGCCATCTGCATGCGCTGGTAGCAGACCTCCTGGGCTGTGGGTCTCTTGTACGGCCGCACCACCGTCTTAGAAGGTGTATCAGTCTGAAAAACAGGAACCACTTTTATTGAAAACTGACCACAGTGTTCTTAATGCAGAAAGTGTGGTGCTGACGAAATAGGTAAAGATATTATTCACAAAATAATGAAAATAAATGCATGTTAACTACCTTCCTGTCATGCTCTAAAAGCATTAACTACCTTCCTGTCATGCTCTAAAAGCATTAACTACCTTCCTGTCATGCTCTAAAAGCATTTCTGACTGAAAGTCTAGTGGTGTAAAACAGAACACAACGGTGTAAAACAGAACACAACTGTATGCATTTCCTATGTGACACTGTGAATAGGCAGTAGTTTAACAGCTTGTCTGACATCACATGTATTCTTTCATCACGGTTTATACTGATCCAGAACTTCTACAGCTTTGAATTTATTTTATTTTTAGTTTGTTCACTTGGTTTAGATCAATAAGACATCATTATATGAGTAAAACTGTCATTTCAATTATGGACAGTTGAGAAATACAAAAAGCTCATCATCCACTTAAACAAGTTCAATTTGATTACATTATTATACCTCAACTTTACATGGACAAAAGGCCCTACCCACTGGACCTTTACTAAAGATCTGAAGATATAGTCTAGATATTGACCATCCGGTGGAGGAAACAGCCAACTGATCAGGCTACCAATATCTCAAATGATCAGCTCGCTGCCCCTGTGGAAACACCAACAGCTGGTTATTTACCGTCAAATCGGACTGACTGGAAAACCCCAGCACCTCTGCCTCTGCTTGCATTGTTTTCATATCAATTTTTCGTTTCCTTCCTTGTTTGCTGTAAGGCTGCTCATGTGAGCTGCCACCGCCTTTGGCTCCCATATACATGCTCTCAAAGACAGGCCGTTCATTTTCCAGCACACATCCATACACAGTCAAGAACAGATATTGTGTGTTCCCCCTGCTTTGTGACACCAGTGTGCAATATAGAAAGACAAAAAAGTCAAGGTGACAAACTTACATTTCCTTTGGCAACAAAATGGGAGACTCTCTTCTTCTGACCGGGGAAAAGAGTGGTTAAAGTGCTCTCTATGCTTTTCTCCTCCTCTGAATCCTTAGAGGGCTAAGGGAGTACAACACGGCATGTTGATTCAAATTCCATTAGCTGGCATTAGAAAATATGACTAAGAATAACAGTATGTGGGGAAACTACAGTTCAGCAATAAGGCGAGAAACAAAACACTAATACCTGTTTAGTTTGCCTTCCCTTGTCTTCCCTCTTCACATCATTGGATTCATTGAAGATCCTCAAACACTCCTCCATAGGGTCTGAGTCAAAGTCCAGGTCATCCTGGAGACTGAAGAAGTCGATTTCAACATCATCAACCTCGTCCTTGCCTGTCCTGCTGCCCTCTAGACCGCGGCCGCTCTCATTGTGAGAGCATGACATGATCAGTTCTGATGCTTTCCTCTTGTTCAGTCGTCTCCCCTTTAAAGCATCAGCCGATTTCCTCACCAGCACTTCTTCTGCTTCATCATCATCATCATCATTGTCCACCTCCATTGGTTTAGCCTCATCTGGACTCTCATCTCCAAACAGATCAGCATGGCTCAGTTTCAGACTTTGTCGTTTCTCCTCATGTCTTTTCCTATTTGGTGACTTGATATTTTGATTCATTTTATCTATGTCTTTTGCAGAACTGCCTTTACTGTTACTCCTCCCACTACTAGAACTGCTTTTACTAATTTTCTTCACATTCTTTTCACTTAAAGTGTTATTAAATTTGCCATTTTTGAGTTGGTGGTCTTTATACTTTCTGTGTTCCTTTTCCTTGTCTGATGTATAAAGTTTACTTTCCTTTGCACCATTTTCTGCATCTTTACTTTGATTTCTAGAATCTGTTTTAACTTTTTCCACAGTTTTGATCTTACCATCACTTCTCTTCTCTCCTCTATGAACTTTATCAGATACTTTAACCTTAAATGTGTCTTTCCTATCATCTCTCTTTCCATGACTCTTGTTCTCCTTCTTTGCAAAGTCTTGGTTTGTGTTCTTTATTGAACCTCTGTCCTTACTGCCACTCTTGCTATCAGATGTTTTTGTTACTTCCTTTTCAAGTTTTTGTAATTTTTTTGCAATTTTCTCATGGCTAGTCCCACCAGTCACTTTCTTTTTCTGTAGGTTGTCCTTCTGTTTAATATATTCCTGGATGTCCGAGTCCTGTGTCAAGTCCACTGTACTTTTCTGTGTCAGTGCATTGTGCATACTTCCAGTTCTCTCTTTTCTCTCCTTCCCAAAAGCACCTCCCACTGACCAAGTGGTGCCTTTTCTTTGCTGGAGATTGCTAAGAGAGGTGGGTCGGTACTCTGTTCCAGAGCTCTCCCCATCAGAGTCAGAGAAAGTGTACTTATTTGTGTCCGCATTCTGCAGCCGTGGCTTTTTCACAGCTATAATATACTCCTCGTCTGACAAATCAGACACTGTTGGTATGCGTGTCTTGTTCCCCTCGGTCTTAACAGCTTGT